TATATATATATATATATATATATATATATTTTAAATACGTAGAAAAGAAAAAGGGACTCAAAACTAAACTCTAATCAGTTTTGCGTGTAAGAATTGGAACCTAAATCTTTCTAACTCTAATTAAAGGAAATGGAAGAGGTATTTCACAAAATTCAAACCAAAATTAGTGGACTGAAAGAAAATACAAGCTTACCATAGTTTTTAAACTTTATAAATTATCTTTTTGATAAAACCCAGTGAAAGTTATACACGTTCGTCAAGTAACTTGCTACAACAAGAACCGGAAGTATTGCAACTCTTTGTCTCAATTTATGTGTCATACTTTCCTTTTTAGTCTGTCAAAAAAAGAATGTCATACTTCCTTATTTAAAAACAATTTAACTTGAAACTTCCTACTTTACTATGAGATGATTTATAGCCACAAATATCTATGGCTTATTTTAGACCATAAGTTTCTCCAGAGATTTTCTTTCTTTTTTAATCTCCGTGCCGAGTCAAATACCGTCACTCAAATTGGAATGGAGAGAGTAATAAACAAAGCTCAAAGAGTTCATTCAATAGGCAAAGGTCCATATGTAAAACCGGAGTTCTGAGATTGTGACAAGCTTAACATTTCACTCCATAAAAAAAAGTCTCAATACATATATACTACAGAAACTACTGAACAGAGTTAAAAAGTCTCCTAAAACTGCTATGCTATATACACCAAAAGAGGTGTTACATTCACATCCTACTTAGAAGAGACCAACAATTAGAGTGACGAAGGACACATAATGGTAATCTAATTCTGCGAGTTAAGATTGGCCTATTCAATGCAAAAACATCTTTAATGCAAGAGAATTCAAAATTCATCATCCACGACGTGGACAGACATTAGCAAAGTGACCTGGATCACCGCAGATGAAACATCTGCCAGTTATTGGTTCACCTGTTGCTGACACAAATGACACACCACTGGTATTTGGAGCACCTTGGCCACGACCACCTCTTCTGCTGCTAGTGGACGCAGAAGTATTTGTGCGCTCACCTCCACTGAGGGTATCTTCCCAACTGCAATGCAGGCAAAAAAGGTGTATCAACTAGCAAACTACTTTAATACTATCAAGAGCTCTGAGTAATACAGATAAATGTAAGCAATTAAAATGAAGTTCCAATGTCAGCAATTCAATCTCGTCGTCCTCTAGGACAGTAATTACTCCAATATACAAATGATTTTCCAGCAGTATAATGCTATGATTTTTATTTGCAAATGAGCGTCAGCTATAAGTGTTGCAGCAGTTTTTTACAGGTTGGCTGAACAGAATATCAACTATGACAGGTCTGAGGCAATATTTTGGTGAGCTATATAATTAGTTGTCAAGGTTTACAGAGTTATATCTTTCTAGATCATGGTGATTTAGTTTTATAATCAAGACCCGGAGAGAGAAGGTACAACAAGATTAGAAAAGATTACATATAGTAAGTTTTCAGGAGGAAACTATTTCCAAAAATAAAATATTATGTTGAAATATAGTTTTCCCTACACGAAAAAATTGCACTCCCGTGATTGACATGAAAAGAACTTTCTTCCCCTGTTGCTGGCAGTATTGGCAGTGCGCAAATTGCAAGGCGCTCCACATGAATTACAAGGGATTGAAGATTCTCCTGCATTGTTAGAAAAGATTAGCTATAAAGTTTGTAATTAACAATAAAGCAGGATCTGTCCTATATCACATCACATACCAATATATTTTTTTCGCATTTTGAATTCTGTCCTCACAGTATCACTTCATGTACTCTTTAGTTGCTTTAACAATATTCTATTTGATAGGGTGAGAATTGGAAAGGATAGAGAGTAAAAGTAACTGGAGAACATCCTCAGGTTAGTAAGGGAGGTAAATAGCGGGATAACAAAAATTCCATGGATATCGGGTGTTCATGGTTCAGTATGGGTCAGTTTTCTCCTAAAAAGAACCAAACCAATTAAGTCAGTTTTTAAAATATGGGAATCAAAGCAAACCAATTAAGTCGGTTTTTTATCGGTTCGATTTTTGTCGATTTTTCAATTTTTTTATCAGTTTTTTCTTATACACTAGCAAACACATATTCCAACAACTACATTCCAACATAATATTATCAAACCAATAACTCTTTGAGAAAATTCGTCATTTACCAAAATATTTTGATGATAATTGAATTAAATAGTGATAAATTTTAAGGGCTCAATTAAAGACAACATTTATAACACGAAACAAATTTTTGAACTTCGCATAATAAAACTACCAATCAAACTAGAATGTAAAGGCAAAGAACTAGATTTTTGTAAAGCAAAGAACTACAATACCAACTAAGAGTGCAAACAATTAATGTGTATACCATAAAATTTAAAAACTTATAATATATATATATATATTGTGTGTGTGTGTATAATAATAAGTTTTAAATAGGTATTTCTATAGTCAGTTTGGTTCAGTTTTTTGGGTTATTTTTTGCTTAAAACCAAAACCAAAACAAAACGAAATTTGATCGGTTATTAAAATTCAAAACCAAAACCAACCAAAAAGTTGTTGGTTTTTTTATCGGTTTGATTTGGTTTTTCAATTTTTCATGAACATCCGCGATATCATATACTCAGACCAATTTGGTGGGCCAAAGGATAACTTTTGCCATTCCAAAACTGAACTATGGAAGCAATGGAAGAAAACCATTGACTCTCTAAGTTTCAAACTTTTTGTCATAGAAGTGGCGAAGTTGCAATACCATTGTGTTTAATTTCAAAAATCGGTACCACTGCACTCCCCCAATTTATGTGACATTCTTTCCTTTTTAGCCAGCCCCAAAAAGAATGACATCTTTCTATATTTAGTAACAATTCAACTCTAAATTTTCCTTTTCACCCTTAATGTGATGATTTCTAGCCACACTAATTTCTATGCTTTGAGTTTCTAAAATCTTTCTCTATTTCTTATTTTTTGTGCCCAGTCAAACACCTTCGCATAAAATTAGGATGGAGGGAGTACTAAGCTACACTTACTATTGCCAATATTTGTATAAGAAATAGACTTCTATCTAACTCAACCCAAAAACTAGGTCATGAGGTGAGGATTACTAACCAATATGAGACTACAACATCCCCGCATGCCTAGCTTTAGACATCTCTAGCATCGACAACATAACATGGGGGCCAAAAATTGGGTAAAACCAAGAAAAAGATGGGTTTGGCTCTGAGACCATGTAATAAAAAAGAGTTTGGGCTTAACTCATGTGAAGATTGTCCAAGACATACAAAGAAACAACACAATTCCCCAACTAATGTGAGACTCTTAACAATATTTTAACAACGGATGTTAGTCTCCTCAACATCACATCAAGTCAACCAGTGGACAAACATTACTTCTACGTCATTATCTTTTCATTGGGGACCACAGGGAAGGTGAGAAAATTGCAGGGGTGTTGGTCATTGTACACAAGATATACAGATAAGGTAACAGAAGAGCACCAAACCATTTTGCAAGTCAACTTCCTGAGACCGAGCAGTGCAACTACGAGAAGCCTGTGAAGGACAATCATTTGACAAATGCCCTGTTTGCCTGCAGTATGCACAAGAACCTTGTGCTCTGGAATTGCCTCTCTGTGCACTGCTGGATGCTGTAGGGTTTCCTCGTCCTCTGCCTGGCAAAAAAAACCCAGCTACAGTCAGTCCTAAGGATGTGAAGTATATCACTCAGGAAATTAAGTCCCTACAGCAACAAATAAATCATGACATTCATACCAAAAGTTTCAGATGTTTGATGGCATTATGCACTAATCTTTCCTAACTAAATCATCAAGTGAAACACTAAAGAATACTCAAAATTGAATTTTCCTGGGTTGGCTATGGCAGCCGAAATCGTCAACAGACGATTTCTAAATGAAAGTCAAATGATTAATGTTGGGGAGGGGACTCTGACCGGTTTCGTAGTTTTACTGCCCTAATGCAATGACTCAAATAGCTATGAGTGCTGCCAAGACGATGAGATGCATGTGCTGTACTGTCGAGTGCTGCTTGCCATTTCAACTATGGGTTTCTCGTTTTACTTCTTGAAAGCATTAGTAGTTTGAAAGTTATGTACTGAAGCTGTGTAAGAGAGAACCTATGAAAGCTTGTAAACAAAAGTTGTAAAGAAAGCTTAAAAGAATTGCAATGAAATGAAAATAAGTTGTATAAATTGTTGTGATGATCGGATATGTCCTTCTCTATACAAAAGTTCCTATGCATATGACCGGCAGCTATGGGCATAAACAACTTTTAATCATGTCTCAATTCTATCTCTAATATCTGGGAACGATCTTGCTAGTGCCATAGTGATCAATGCACGTTTGGCTGTCCTTGTTGCACCTCAACTGACCACCTTCTTCCCACGTTCAACTGTAGCTCTCTTGTCACATATTCTAGGGAATTACTTGACACGAGTCATGAAGTGGTAAAACCTTGCACGACTTGGTCATCTGGAAAGAGGATTATAGGCTTGACTCCTAGAATTCTACGCTGAAGTTCCTGTAGCTGGTTGAGCTCTATGGCTTTGCACATTTATCCAGCTTGCTTCCATATCCGGCCACTAGCTGGAGATGAAACTCAAATTACTTTGGCCCAATTTCATGTGCAGATTTTCGTGCTGACATAGCCAAAAAGTACTTTCTGTGACAGTTTCTAGCAAAAGAAGAATACAATTATAGATGACAAAGGTTAACTTTTACTCTTGTCGCATCTAACAGACCAAGTAGGCTTTTGGATTTGAAGGGACTTCTCACCAGTAACAGATGAGTAATGCTCAGACTCTAAACTAGATATAAACATTTAAATTGAAGAGCTAAAGGGAAGTGATCGAGCAAAGTAAAAGAAGAAATATTTGCAAGTCATAATCTCTACCACTATTCAAACTTGACCATAATAAAATCAGAGTTGAAGTGTTTGAACATCTCATCTAAAGGCTTAAGCTGTTAGAGTGAGAGCACACTTTTAATTGCTTAATTATATTGTATCTCAACACGGCCCCTCACATGTGGATCTGATTCTTTTTCATGAGCCCTACATGTGGACAACAGCAACTCCAACTTCGGCATTTTTCATGTCACAGAAGTTCCTCACACAGTACAATGAACAGCGTAATTTGAAGTTAAACCAAATTATAGTAAGAACTGAATTCGATCATATTTCAAATTTAATTCTGATGAATGAAACTATCGAAACATCAAAAGAAAAAGTTCATAGTATTAATTTGACTGTAACTCAAAGGTATCTAACTTAGGTCATTTGATATAGAAAATGGTTGGTTTTGCCTTCGCTTTGGTTTTGTACCCTAAAACACTAAAGCATTTTTTTAGAACTTTCATATGGGTGAAATTAATTAGATTAAAACTGAGTAAACGTCTGCAGATGCTACTAGTCATATTTCCAAATAAATCATTTTTCATTTCAAGGGGAAAAATCAAATCCAGACAAAATAATTCTTTTTGAGCAAGAGATCAAAGGTGTTTCAGCCTAATAAATGGACCTTGGGCCTAACTCAACCCCAAAAGCTAGCTTATGAGGTGAGGATTGCCCAAGACCATATAAGGAGACCAAGGACCTCAAATCCCACCGATGTGGGGCAATTCAATATCCCTCCTCACGCCCAGACCTGCAGACTGGAGCGTGGACAACATAAATGGGGGCCCAACATCGGTAACAATAATCTATGTTGCGCGGATACTCCAAAATGCTGCCGCACCCGTGTCGGATCCTCCAAAAATACAATACTTTTGGAGGATCCGGCACGCACCCGACACCGTTTTCGGAGAGTCTGAGCAACATAGACAATAATTGGGATGAGCCTGCCTCTGATACCATAATAAATGGACCTTGGGCCTAACTCAACCCCAAAAGCTAGCTTATGAGGTGAGAATTGCCCAAGACCATATAAGGAGACCGAAGACCCCAAATCCCACCGATGTTGGACAACTCGACACCCTTTCTCACACCCAGGCCTGCAAACTGGAGTGTGGACAACATAAATGGGGGTCCAACATCGGTAACAATAATTGGTATGGATCTGCCTCTGATACCATCTGTAACAACCCAGCCCGCTAGTGATATTTTCCGCTCTAGGCCTAGGCCCTCACGGGTTTAAAACACGTTACTAGGGTCTAAGGCTTGTTAACTTATAAGCTTTGACGATGTGGAACTCTGTCTAAAGTCTTGGGTGTTACATACACCCCCCTCTTTATGGGATTCGCCTAGACTCAGCACTGAGGTTTGCCCGGCCTAACCGGGATTTGCCTAAACTCAGTCGAACTCTGACCCACTATCGGCAAGGCTGCACAAGAGTGGCTCTGATACCCTAATAAATGGACCTTGGGCCTAACTCAACCCCTAAAGCTAGTTTATGAGGTGAGGATTGTCCAAGACCATATAAGGAGACCGAGGACCTCAAATCCCACCGATGTGGGACAACTCAACACAGACTTTGCACAGAGTGGTCCCACATGGAGCCAACTGTTTTCCAAAAAAAGAACACGGATGGAAGTTTCGTTTTTCGTCAGAAAAAAAAGGAAGCTTCGTGTTCCCGTTTTGTTTTCCAACTGTTTTTCTGGAAGAAAAAGAAAGCATGTTCTGTTTTAGAAAAACAAACATTCGTTTTATGGGCCATAAGATAACCTCAAAAAGGAAAGCAATCATCAGAATTGCAAATAAAAGTACATATCGAAACAAAAGCTCTAGACGGGTGTTCCTTACATACCGAAAGTGTTTGAACTACTGCGAGAACCAGTTCCGCAAATTCCCACCAGCTGCCTTAGAATATCATCACAGCCACCAATGCAACCTGAGAAGATTATAGAACTTTCACTGTTATATAGCTGCACTGTCTAGAAGCAACATTAACATTGTGCATGCACTTCATAAGTTCCATGACTTTATAATGCATATATAATTTTTGAGACATTTTTGTATTTTATGCTAAAAGATAATTCCTTGCAGAGTGTGACAGTTTAATCTTTTGCCAGACTCTCCTTATTTTTAATTTATGATCCCCTGTGCCACTGAAAAGAAAACACAATCATATATCATAGCACCAAAATATGTCTCTTTCTGTTTGATTGGTGAAAATAATATTCTCCAACTCAACCAACCACACCATGACTGGTGCTGTCAGCAATTACACTACAGTGATCTCATTCGCTTTTGTGCCGCTCTTGGAATGTTTAACACAACTAGTTCATTTCGGTATGCCTCACACGTCTCTCTCTTACTGTCACTACCAAATGTGAAGTCCCGCCATCAACACCCACCAAACTGTAAAGTATCAAACTTGCAAAGATTAGTTTAACTTTAACCATCTATAGCAAATGTTGCGCCTAGAAAAGAAGAGGTGGATTGTAAACAATTTAATATTGAGCATGCACAGTCTCATGCTTAATAATTTAAAATAGAATGACTTTGAATTCCTTTCAGTACATTATCATGCAGCATATTCATCATTCAGACTTCTCCATTTCAGCATTTGAGAACTCACAACACATATGTTCAACGAAAAGACTATTAGCTTTATTAAATAATTGGAAATAAAGTAAGAAGATATAAAATTAAAGAGAAGAGATTTTAAAAGGGAGCCAGCAAGCCTTGTAATTCTTTATACACATTTGTTCAAGGAAGAAAATATTTTCAACTATTTAACGTTCCATTGAACAATAAAAAGGGATAGGGTCTCTTAGGAAGACTTAGACGAGATCGACTTTCACAAAACAGTCCCAGTGTCCATCTTACCTATATGTTGAGCACTATAATTTGGCGGTATTTCCAGCCGGCGAAATCTAAACTGAATCTTGTATACTAGTCCTGAATGTCATCTTTGGAAATCAGGAAACCAAACATAGAAAAAGATGTACAGGATAAGGTTATCCAATCCAGTACAAGAAAAGGAAAACTCCAAGAAGCAACCTGGACCGCAGCTGGTGCACGTATTCTCCGTAACAGAAGCTTCTGATAGAGATCCAGGTAGCCAGACAACATTTCTGCACTGTATGAACAAGATAAAGTAGCAACATGTCAGAAGCAATAATTTTACTAGGATTCTTAACTACATAATTGTTATAACACTACTCCACAAACCATATATCAACCAAAGCAAATCAAAATACTCGATCATTAACACTTTGCAATTTTACATTGGTAATAATAGGAGATTTGAAATTGAAGAGAAGTGAGACTTGATGTCAATCTCCTAATATATAGCTGATTTACAACAACTAACTCAATCAAATCAAATCAAACTAAACCAAATTAATAAAAATTACTAGACAATTTCAGAAAATCATGTGTATAGAATCTCGATATTTAGAATGGAAAGGAACTGAAGGAAAGAAAAGGAGAGAACAATACTATATTCTCAAAATAAACTTAGGACAAGAAATTGTCCCATCTCCTTCCCTTCCCTTCCAAATCCTTCCATTTAAAAGTAACATTACTCGTGACAGTTGCTAGAATAGTTATAGTATTTTGCTGAAATTATTTGTGCTACTGAACAAATGGATAACTACTAAATTTTGACACTTTTTGAAATAAAACACGAAGTGAAAGCTCGTACGAGATTTCTTAATTACATAAATGGCATATAACTGAAGATTTGAAGAAGAATGAAACTTCTTGTGTTTCAATATGTTTTTACATCCAACAAGCACTAGTATTTATATAGAGGTTCCTATGGCTAATTTACGAGAGAAAACCAATTACAGTTACTACACAAATTAATTAGAATAAAATCTCCTAGAATAGAATCAAATCTCCTAAAATTAAGTTTCTTATAATCAAGCAAGTCAACATAATCAAATCTCCTAAAATTAAGTTTCCTACAATCAAGCTAGTCAACACTCTCCCTCAAGTTGGTGCAAAGATGTCACACATGCCCCACTTGCAAACCAAAGTGTGGAAGGTTCGTCTGTTGAGGACCTTTTGTAAACATATCAGCTAGTTGTTTCTCTGAGGATACATGAATTAAAGTCAAAACACCATCTGTAATCTTTTCTTTGATGAAGTGTCGATCAATTTCAACATGTTTCAAACGGACATGCTGCACAGGATTATGAGTTATACTGATTGCAGTCTTGTTATCACAATACAAGGAAAGTTTCCCTTTTTTAGATAATTTCAATTCCTCTGATAGCTTTTGTAACCACAAAAGTTCATAAAAACTCTGGACCATAGTTCTATATTCTGCCTCGGCACTTGATCTAGCAACTACACTTTGCTTCTTGCTTCTCCAAGTAACCAAGTTCCCTCCTACGAGTGTACAATAACCGAATGTAGATCTTCTATCACTAGAGATCCAGCCCAATCTGCATTTGTATAAGCTTCTATACACTATGTTTGGAGAAAAGGAGACCTTTGCCAGGAGCAGACTTTAAATATCGCAACATGTGGAAGACAACTTGCATATGAGAATCCCTAGGACCATGCATGAACTGACTTACCAGGCTGACTGAGTAAGTTATATTTGGTCCAGTGTGGGAGAGATAAATGAGTCTTCCAACCAACCTCTGATATCTCTCCTTATCAACAGACTCTCAAACTCCTGTTTGTAACTTGTGATTGCTTTCAATAAGCGATTCTGCTGGTTTGCATCAGGTCATATCAGTTTCTTTCAAGAGATCTAAAATATACTTTCTTTGAGAAGTAAAGATTCCCCTTTTCGCTCGGGCAACCTTAATTCCCAACAACTACTGCAGTTTTCCAAGATCATTGATCTCGAATTCCTGTGCCAACAGCTTCTTCAACCGAACAATCTACTCTTTGTCATCTCTTGTCATTACTATATCATCAACATAAACTATGAGAAGAGTGATTCTACCGCTTTGATGTCTTATGAAGGGAGTATGATCGGCATTGCTCTATTGATAACCAAACGAGATCATTACTTTGCAAAATCTGTCAAACCAAGCTCTAGGAGATTGCTTCAATCCGTACAGGGCTTTCTTCAATCTGCACACATTTCCTCGACTCTGGTAAGTATCAAATCCAGGAGGAATCTCCATATACTGTTGTAAGCCTTAATCAAGATTAGTTGCACAAGATAAAAGTATTCTAATAGTGTTCATTTTAGCAACAGGAACAAAGGTTTCTTGATAGTCCACTCCATAAGTTTGAGTGAATCCCTTAGCCACCAAGCTTGCTTTGAATCTTTCAACCTAGCCATCAGTTTTGTGTTTCACCGTGAAGACCCATTTGAAACCAACCAACTTCTTGTCTGGGGTTGATGTGACAAGCTCCCAAGTGCTTTTTTTTACAAGGCCTTCATTTCTTCAATCAAAGCTTGCTTCCATTTAGGATCGGCAAAAGCTTCCCTCCAATTCTGGGGAATAGACATAAAAGAAATAGACAAGGCAAAGACTCTATAGGACGAAGACAAATAATTATAGAAGACAAAATTAGATAAAGGGTATTTGGTGGTGCAAGATCTTACTCCTTTTCTGCGAGCAATAGGCGAATCTATCTCATTAGGAAATGTAAATAACTCACCAATAGAAAAGAGTTCAGCAGAAAAGGATTCATCTTCAGTAGATTGCATTGATGGTTTTTCTGCTCTATTTCTTCTTGAGTAAGTTATCAAATCAGGTCTGTCCAAAAGCCCAATAGTCTCCCCCATGAATTCTTTAGCCAATTCACTTTCCTTCATGGAAGTGGTAGTGGCATCAATAGTGGCTCTAGGGAGAATAACTCTTCCTCCTTATAGCTCTCCCCCAGAAGCGGTGATGGTGTAATACTGAAATAAGGCTCAGATTCTTGAAAGGTAACATCCATGCTGACAAAGGATCTCCTGGAGGGAGGATGATAGCATTTGTACCCATTTAAGAGCTCTAGGATCAAGTTTCCCAGAGTTTCTAGTGTGAACAAAGCAAAGATACTCAAGCACCTTCGGAGGAACAACATAATCATTTTACCTTTTAAAGCTTCCAGAGGACTCTGAAAATTGAGGGTTTTAAGCGGCATTGTGTTGATGAGGTAGACAGCTACTAGAATGGCATCCCCCAGTAAGGTTTTGGTAGATTCATGGTAAACATAAGAGATCTTGCCACTTCTAACAAATGCATATTCTTCCTTTCAGCAACCCCATTTTGTGCACTAGTATAAGGACAACTTGTTGTGGTGGATAATCCCATAAGACTACAAATAAACACCAAAATTTTTATCCATGTATTATGCGCCTTTGTCAGTTCGCAAGAATTTGATCTTATTCTCAAATTGAATACAAATTATCTTATGAAATGACTGAAACATGAGAAAATTTCACTTTTGACCTTTAACAAAAATACCCAAGGCATCCTAGTACAACAATCAATAAAAGTAATTGTTAAATAGTTTAGTAATATAATGTCTCACATTGGAAATTAGATACATATTATTATGTAATCACGGTATATAAATAGGCATTGTACCGCACTTTAGAAATAATTAATAAAACTTTTTCGTGCTATACTTCTCACATGATATAAGAGCGTTGGTGAGAAACAACCAAAAAAGAGAACTCCACCCGACAGTCACCGCGAGTCAATTTCCGGTGACTTCTTGTGCTGTTATTGCGTCACCAACGTTTTCCTTAGTGTTGTGCTAAAACCAACACCATTACAGAGTCCTACACCCTCCAACAATCAAACCCCAGCAAACCCTGCCGGAAAACCCCCCACGCGCCGACCAGAAGAAAAACAATTCCGCGACATCTCCTCATGCGCTGGCGCGTGAGTTTCCCTCCGGCCATTTCCTAACAAAACTTCTTTTGGATAGCTTACTCGAGAGGTTATTCCGAGCAAATTTCGACGCCCTTTTTATTTTCCGGCAAGATTTCCGGCGAATGTTCAATTTTCGGCGAGATTGTTTTTTCTTCAGTGTTCCTGTGAGCTTTTATTGTTCTTAATTGTCTGTGCTATTTGGTCCAACAATGTCTTTGAGACTTGATGTTTTTGGTTCTAAAAGCACGCGTTCTGGAAATTCAAGTTTGATGATTACTACGGAACCCTTAATGGGAAGTTGAAACTACTTAGCATGGGCTTCTTCTATTGAGTTGTGGTGCAAAGGTTAAGAAGATCAAGACAGTGTTTTGAAAAGCGAGCGCTTCGTCGCTTTAAGCGCGAAGCGAGAAGCTGTCGCTTTTTCCTTACTGAAGCAACACGACCAGCAGAAGCGATCGCTTCAGCCAAAAAAGCGAGAAGCGACCCAGAAGCGAGAAGCGCAAAAGCGCTTGCTTCTGTTCAGAGGGGCCATTTTGAAAAGAAAAAAAAGTTTGGGTCTTTGTTTTTGTTATACAAAACAAACCCAAAGTGAAAAGACCTTCTTTGTCTTGCCAAAAATTGAACGTTAGCAGCAGCAACCAACTAGGGTTCAGCCTCCAGGTAATTTTTCTCTTTTATTCTTCTTTCTTCTTCTTCTGATGAACGTTAGCAGCAGCAACCAACTAGGGTTTAGCATCTAGGTAATTTTTCATCTTTTATTTTTCTCCTTCTTCTCTCTTCTCTTTTTCAGTTTTTCTCGTCCAGTGTCTGCGCTTGGGCAGGCGTTGNTTTTTCTTCTTTTATTCTTCTCTTCTTTCTTCTTCTTCTCCTCCTCCTCCTCCTCTTTTCTCTTTTTCAGTTTTTCTCCTCCAGCGCACAGCTAGGGCAGGCGCTGGTTTTTTCCCCCCTTTTATTCTTCTTATTTATTAATTTTAATATGTATTTTAGTTTATAAAATTAATTATTATATATATATATATATATATATATATATTATTTTCAGTTTATTTGATTTGTTTAATGTGTATTTCGGTTTATAAAATTAATTATTATATATTATGTTATATTTTCAGTTTATTTGATTAATTTTATATGTATTTCAGTTTATAAAATTAATTATATATATCTATATATATATGTTATATTTTCAGTTTATTTGATTTTTATAATGTGTATTTCAGTTTATAAAATTAATTATATATATCTATATATATATGTTATATTTTCAGTTTATTTGATTTTTTTAATGTGTATTTCA